AGTAATTCTTGAAAATTCTTTTATTTTCCCTTTCTGTTTATTTTTAGTGACTTCTAGATGACTTCACTTTCTCTTGGGGACCCATATGTAATAGCAAATCTAGTTACAGTTCTTTTTTTGTTTTTTTCCTTCCATGTAAAAATTTTGAAAATTATCATTTATGGATCTCAGTGATAAAGATTACTTAAAAACAAACCTAGAAATTAAAAATGAAAGTCCACCCGTTAACTAATAACCAGGCTCAGTTCTGCTTAGCTTTTGAGGTCAAATCCAACCAGGCATATTTAAGATGGTATGAACACCAACAGAACTGTGTGTGGTGGGACATGCCTGTATTCACAGCACTCAGAAGCCTGAGTGTTGTAATTTTTAAAAGTAGCATGCCAGAGAAAGACATCATGCAACAGAGCTCATGTTGAGGGTTTTTTTATTGGGGGGAAGTGGATGGGAAAGGGGAGAGTGGAGAGGGCTGACTGGAGCAGCAGAAGAGAAAAGAGAGAGGCAGAGACAGAGCTAGAAAGAGAAAGATGGGCGGGGCCCTTTTAAAAGGGAACATAGTGAATGTGCACAGGTGGTGCTCTTTGTGGCTGCAGCTGAGAGTATATTCTGTCAGAACCCCAAGGACAGGCCAGTACAGATGCCTGAATACTAATACTGAGGAAGGAGGATTGTACTCCAGGTTAGCCTGGGACTGAGGTCAAGACCTGTCAAGAAACAATGAAGGGGAGAGAGAGAAAGAAAAGAGGAGGAGGGAGTTGGGGGTTGGAGGGAGGGAAAGGCTCTCACCCAGACCCATTCTTCAGTTTAAGAGTGGGGTGTACACCCTGGTCTTCACACACTCGGACTGTTTTAAGAAGATGAGAGCACACTGGGCACACTGTTCTTCATGTGACTCATCTTGGGGACATTTTCAGCGCATTGTACATAGACTTGCCTTGCTCTTTGTTACATAGTATGCCACTGTTTTTATTATGCCATAAATATTTGGTTGATTCTGTATGGAAAATACAAAAGCACTTTTTGTTTTATGAGGAGGCATATTTTAGGGGATTTTTTTTTCTAAGACAGGGCACCACTATAGCTCATGGTCCTCCTGAGTACTGGGATTACAGGCATACACCACCATGCTCAGCTCTGAACTTTTGAGGCTGTCATTTAAGAAAACAATTATTCTGCAATTTTCATGACAATGGTAAAGATTTGCAAAGCACTCCTGGTGTGCATAGCCTTACTCACCCAATAAAGTAACCTATGCACAACACAGGGGAGGCCATGGGGACCCAAGGAGGGATGCATGCACCTCTGTAGCTTTGGTGATAGCTGGGTCCCCTCTCCCCTTCTATATGCTCCGTGGGCCAAACATCCCTTTATGCATGATGACTTGATGTGCTACCCCATGGAGGACACCATTGTTTTCACCCCGGCTTATTGGCCCACGGGAGTTATTGCTTTTCACACTGGAGCAGTGCTCCATAATTTTACCTTTGCCGATCCTACCTCGCCATAACAACAAAGCCATTTGCCTCTACGGTTCCCACCTGGATTACAGTTCTGTGCCTTGGGATCTCAGATGCAGACTTTCTTATGTTTGCTCCCTCCTCTCCCTCTCTCTGGAGCTCATTTTCCTCTATCTCTCAATTATCAGTGTGTGTGTGCACGCGCATGCCTGGGTATGTGCATGCCTAGTTCCAAACCTCTCCTCTTCTACTCTGTGCTTTAATGACTGTGAAATGCTTTGATCAATGAGAATGAAAATGGTAGTTTTAAGAGCATCTAAGGGCCGGGCGGTGGTGGCACTCGCCTTTAAGTCCAGCACTCGGGAGGCAGAGGCAGGTGGATCTCTGTGAGTTTGAGACCAGCCTGGTTTACAAGAGCTAGTTCCAGGACAGCCTCCAAAGCCACAGAGAAACCCTGTCTCAAAACTAGCCCCCCCCCCAAAAAAAAAGAGCATCTAAGAAGCCAGGCATGGGTGATGCAGACCTGCAATCCCAATTATTTGGGATACTCAGACAAGAGGATGACAAGTTCCAGTCCAGCCTGGAATATTTAACATCTCAAAATGAAGGTAAAAAGGGAGTTAGGATGTAGCTCAGAGTGCTAGACTAGCATCTATGAAGCCCAGCCCCACATAAACAGGTGTCATTGGTGCATGCCTGTCACCCAGCACTCAGATGGCAAAGACAAGACAGTCAGAAGTGCAAGGTTATCCTCAGTTACTTTGGTGAGGTTGAGGTTAGCCTGGGATTCATGAGAGCCTGTCTCAAAACAAAACAAATAACAAAAGGAGCCGTGGGTATGGTTCAGTGGTAGAGCGGTTGTCTAGTATATTCCAGGCCCCGACTTTAATCCAAGGGCCATAAAACAATAGTATGGATGGGTGGTGGTGCAAGCCTTTAATCTCAGCACTCAGAAGCCAGAGGCAGGGGGCTCTCTGTGAGTTTGAGGTCTAGATAGAGTTTGATCTATCTAGAGAGTTCCAGGATAGATAGCTATACAGAGAAACTCTGTGTCAAAAAAACCAAACAATTTAAGAAGAAAATGTGCCATCTGCTCTTGTGGATGAGAGGAGAGCAGTGGTTTGTAGCAGCCTCAGTATGGTGGAGTGTATGAAAAGTCTTTGAAGCCTCTAAAGCTACCAGCGTGTTTCTAGACCATGGGGTGGGGGCCAGTAGAGAGTGAAAACGGGAGGGAGAAGGGATGACAAACGGAAGGAATTTTCACAGGATAAACAAAGCCTGGGTACTGAGTCTAGAGAGGAGAGGACACTCTCATGGGGTTCATGGGCGGTTTGTTCCATCTGAATTGATGCTTTTAGTCGGTCTCCCTCTGACAACACCGCTTCCTTATGGCAGTGAACGCCTCCCTTCCCGGGATCTCCACACCTCAGCCATGGGAAGCAGCTCCTCCAGCCAACACCACTTCGCTTTTCAGAATGCTGAGAAAGGTACGCGCTTCCCTCCTTCAGAGCTAGCCTTGGTGCCCAAAGTCCATGCATGCTGCGGGGGTGGGGAGTGGAGGGTGGGGGCGGAGCTCCTCGGGACAGAAGCAGAAAGCCATTGATTTATCCTCTGGCCGCCTCTTAGAAGTCACGTGTTCCTTGGCAGTGCTCCGCAGACCATCTGAGTTGGTAGAATTAAAATGTCCCTAGCAGTCGCTGTTGTCTCAGTTTACGCAGACTCTACACAGTGCATGAAATGGGGCTGGGCAAAAAGGGAAATGTAGCCCGTCAGCGGGGAGGAAAAAGCTGATGCCCATCCATGGAACGGAATGGTTTAAAGTGAAAGAGGTGGAGAATTAAAGGGAGTGGCAAAAGCCACGCCAGTCCGAATCTTGCAGGATTTTGTTTGTTTATTTGGGGTCTTTAATGTAGAGACTCACAGTGTAGCTCTGGCTGCCAGCAACCTGCTATGTATGGACCATGCTGGTCTCAAACTTGCCACAACTCTCTTGCCTCTGGCTCCCATGTACCAACATGTTTGTCCAGCCTTCTGTAGGACTCTAAACTTTATTCCAAGGGCATGAAGGACAAAAGAATTCAGAATAAGGAATTCTGTAACAATATTTTTACCTCTCCAAAACATCCCTGGCTTCTGTGAAGAAAGGTAGAAAGAAATTAATTTTTAGAGTTACTAAAGCCAGCTGAATTATCCACTTTCGCATAGATGTGACCAAATACCTAATAGAACAAATTATTATTATTATTATTATTATTATCATTATCATCATCATCATCATCACCATCATCATCATCATCATCATTGACAGGGTTCTGGCTGCCCTGGAACTCACTCTGTACACCAGGGTGTGCTGGAACTCACAGTGCTGGGATTAAAGGCATGTGCTACGTACCACACTTTTCTTTTGGGCCACCAACCGGCTCCCAAATCCTGGCACGGAGACATATTAGTTATAAATGCTTGACCAAGCTAAGGCTTGTTTCTGGCTAGCTCTTTTAATTTATATTAACCTCTCTTTATCTACTTTTGCCTCGGGGCTTTTTACCTCCCCACCCCTATTTCTTTATGTCTTACTTTCACTGCTTCTTATGTCTGGCTGGCTGGCTGCTTTCTGGCTTCTGGTCCTAGGTGTGTCCCTCTGTTTCTCCCTCCTTCTCTTCTTCTTTTTCTTTCTTCTATCTCCTATTTATTCTCTTTGCCCTCCAGCCCCACTTATCCTTTCCCTTGGCTAGCTATTGGCCGTTCAGCTCTTTATTAGACCAATCAGATGGCTTAGGCAGGCAAAATGAAACAAGCTCAACACACAAGTCTTTACATCACTAAACAAAGGCAGCGCAAACAAGTGTGACAGCCTTATGTTGTTAAACAAATGTTACATCTTCAACAGTTAAAGTCATATTCTGCAGCATAAACAAATGTAACACATCTTTGTCCAGTTAAAATAATATTCTACAGCCGGGTGTTGGTGGCACACGCCTTTAATCCCAGCACTCAGGAGGCAGAGGCAGGCGGATCTCTGTGAGTTCGAGGTCAGCCCAGTCTCCAGAGTGGGTGGCAGGATAGGCTCCAAAGCTACACAGAGAAACCCTGTCTCGAAAAACCAAAATAATGATAATAATAATAATAATAATAATAATAATAATAATAATATTCTACAACATATATATTTGGTGCCTTCAGAGCCAGAAGAAGATGTCGGATCCTCTGCAGCTAGAAATACAGACAGTTGTGAGCAGCCACATAGTTCTGGGAGCTGAACCTGGTTCTTTGCAAGAGTGGCTATTGCTTTCAACTGTTGAGCCAACTTCAGCCCCATAGAGCAGTGTGTCTCTTTCTTTCTTTCTTTCTTTCTTTCTTTCTTTCTTTCTTCTTTCCTTTCTTCCTTCCTTCCTTCTTTCTTTTTCCTCTCTCTCTCTCTCTCTCTCTCTCTCTCTCTCTCTCTCTCTCTCTTTATTTCTTGAGTCAGGTTTTACTCTGTGTAACAGCCCTAGCTGTCCTGGAACTTGCTTTGAAGACCAGGCTGGACTCGAACTCACAGAGATCAGCCTGCTGCTGCCTCCCAAGTGCTGGGATGAAAGGCATGCATTACCATGCCCAGCTGCCCCACAGAGCGTCTTGTCAGTTAATCAATTTTTTGTTTAGCAATGGACCCACAACACTAGCATACAGGTGCACTCAGATATGCCAAAGAGAAGCAGGAAGGTGTTTCTTTAGATGAAAAGGTGAATTCTCTTGACTTAATAATGAAAAACAAAAACAAAAAACAAAGGGCAAAATAGGTTCATTACTATTCCCGGCAAGGTACCTGCAAATGTCTCCATTCAGACAGGGGCCAAGGTGAGGTGGAAACATTAAGAAGTGAAAATCCAATAAACTGCTAGTGATTAGTACCATCAGTCTTGGCAGGAATTGGGAGGTATAGTGGGATGGGCATGGAGGACAAGCTTGTGTGACCAACAATAAGATAGATGCTGCCTCCTGGCTTTTCTGGGTAGTGCTGTTCCCACCACTTTTTGCATGGGGCAAAGTGTTTCCTGCTCCATCTCTGGGAGTCCCTGCCAGCAGGCCTGTGTCTTTGTGTTGCATACAGCCTTCAAGGCATCGGTCCTGATCCAGAGATGGTACCGGCGCTACATGGCCCGCCTGGAGATGAGGCGGCGATGTACCTGGAACATCTTCCAGTCTATAGAGTATGCTGGGCAGCAAGACCAGGTCAAGGTACGTGGGGATGCCAGCAGGGACAGGGAACTGCCTGCCAGCCCTGGCAGCAGGACCTGGTGCTAGAAGATACAGGCGATTGGACCACTCCTGGATTCTCTTTCCCTCATTTTTTAAAGCTAACCTTGTCTGGTTTTTCCACAGCTCCATGATTTCTTTAGCTATCTTGTGGATCACTTCACCCCTAGCAGCCACCACGAGAGTGAGTATGAGTTGCCATGTGACATGGTCTGCTGTCTGAATATCATAGTGTCAGTGTGGTGGGGGTGACACAGAGACTGGGGTGGGGACTCTGGTCAGAGTTCAAGCCTGAATGAGATGGTTAGCAAATGAATGACAGAGTAAACTTTTAGCCTGGGCTCTCCTATAGCATACGTGGAGACAAATGCAAGGACCTGATTTACTAAGTGGCAGGAAACACTGGAGGTGGAAGGGAGTGGATTGGGATGGAGGGAATGGAGAGAGAGACATGCCAGAAATGGGAAAATAGATTGCTAGCTGGCAACTTAGGAGGCCTGGGAAGTAATGAAAATGAACCTCCTGACATCAGGACCTTGGGGCAACATTAGCCTGGGAGTTCCTGGTAGAAGGCCTCCTGGAGAGAAGGATGGCAGGATAGTTGGCTCCAGAGCCTTTCTGGTCTGCCACTTGTGGTCCCCTGCAGTCCAGAAGGGAAACCCTGGGGTTAGACCTTCAGAGCGTGGCAGCTGGAGGAGGCTGCTGCGCCCACTGAACAAGATGAATGGCTGAGAATCTTTTCCTCCTTGCCTTTGTTCTGACCTTCCTCTTGCCTTTATAGGCCTCTGCATTTCTGGACTTTCTCTGGCCAATCTTTCGGTTATTAAAAAAAAAAAGATTTATTTTAAAGCATGTGTAAAAGTGTGTATGCATATGTGAGTGCAGGTGCTTAAGGAAGCCAGCAGAGGGCATCAGATTCCCCCTTGGAGCTGGCTTATAGGTCATTGGGAGATGCCAGAGTGCTAGGAATCTAACTCAGGACTTGTGGAAGAGCTGCAGTTAGCTGCAAGCACTCCTAACTGCTGAGCCATCGTCTTTCCATCGCCTATTTCTGGTGAATTTTAAAAAGTAAATGTAGACTAGATACCACCTAATGTTGTACTGTCATGGAAATATAAACTTACTCCTGTGCCCCTTACTATCTCACTTTGGTTTTCCTGTGATATCCTGGGCTGGAACCAGTGCCAGCTTTGCGGGGTCCCACTGCATTAACAGTCCCACAAAGTCTTGCTAAGCTAGCCTGCCTTTGCCCTCTGTGTCTGGACTAGGGGAGTTCCTGAACCGCATGTTCACTGAGGAGAGATTTGCCCAGGATGTGGAGACAGAGAAGGGCGCTGACTACGAATCCATAGAGGTGCCCGACAGCTACACAGGGCCACATCTCTCCTTCCCGCTTCTTCCTGACCATGCCACCGCCCTAGTGGAAGCGTTCAGGCTGAGACAAGTAAGCTTAAGTGGGAATGTGGTCCCTACCGACTTGTATTCATGAGTAAAGGCATGAGTAAACCACCCCCGGAAGTGTAGCCAGGCTCCTGTGGTCCATCTGCCAGTCTCTAAAATCAAAACCTTTACTGTTTCGTTCATTCAGCCTGCAGGCAGCCAGTGAGGGATGCTGGGAGGCTCACCCTGATCCGAGCACTGAGGATGCAGCCACCCTCATGCACCGGACCCTAGTGGTGTAGAAAGACAAAAAACCGATGAGTCAGTCTGTGTAGCACAGAAAGCGATGAGAGCTATGGGCAGGAAAGACAGAGATTTTAGGGTTTGGGGAGGAAATCTTTGACAAACGTCTGGGGTGGTGAGGGATACACCTGAGTTATCTGGGAACGGAGTATTCTAGACAGAGGCAAGGGCAAAGGCTCTGAGGAAGGATCTTCGTGGACTGTCCGGGGACCTCGGAACGCCACTGTGGTTAGCAAGGAGGAATCCAGGAGACCAGTAAGAGATGCAGAAGCAATGGCCTTCCAGCTTGCTGTTTAAAATAGAGGGACCCCACCTTTAATCTCAGAATTTGGGAGGCAGAGGCAGGCCGGTCTCTGTGAGTTCCAGGCGGGCTGGGTCTAGAGCGTGAGTTCCAGGACAGTCAGAAATTCATAGTGAGAACCTCTGGAGTCATAATAAAATTACAGTGCTTGCTGAGGTTGAGACTGGCTTGTAGAGCTGGTGAGAGGCAGCTCGGTTCTGAGAGGTGCGTGCCTCGCAGTCCTTCCACTCTGTGACAAGATGAAAGCAATGTGCCAGTTGGGATGCTATTTCTAAGCAATGGTGGGATTGGTTCCCACTATCAGTGTAAGTGCACTAATTCATACCACACTACTGCAGACATGCACTGCTCCCGAGGGGCAAAGAGGAGTTTTACATACTAGACAGGAATGACAAGGTGACTCGATGTTTACAGAACGGACAAATGGGAGGGAAGAACAGTAGAAATGAAAGCAGAGTGAAGAGGATCCATGGTTTACTGGGTTTCTTTTGGGGTCTGGGGTGGCTGGGCATTCACCAACAAAAATGGGGCCACCGGTGTTGCTCCATTCTGTTCCTTTCCTTCTTCCCAGTAGCAGCTCCATGCTCGATATGTCTTGAGTCTTTTGTATGAGACAAGGAAACACTTGGCCCAGCTGCCCAACATCAACCGGGTCTCAACCTGTTACAGTGAGGAGATCACAGTGTGCGGTGAGTGCCCCTAGGCAAGGCTAGACACAAACCAGAAGACACTGCCCCAGAGAGGGGCCAGGAGAAGGAGCTGAGCCAGCGGGAGCATGATGGCATGTGAACAGCATGCCAAAGTGTCTCCTCTTCAGCTGACCATTTTCACACTTGTCCCACATGTACTTAAAGGAGACATGGTTCAGAGAAACAATTCATAATGACTCCAAGTTCTCAGTCCATACTGAGAACAAAATCACAGCAACAACCAGCCAACAGCAAAGAACAAAGAAAGAAACCCCACCCCACCCAGGCTTTTGTATGAGCAGACATTTTATTTCTTGGTACTTGAGCAAGGCTTATAGACTTATTTTGTTCCATCTATACACACGTCTCTCCCATGGAGAACCATAGCAGCTAGTCTCATCCATTTGCTCAGCAGCAGCAGCCATGCAGACAGGAGCCCACAATCCAGCTGAGGGAGATGCACTCGAGGAGTTGTGAACCGTTCCAGTGGATATGTCTTGCTCAGCCTGCAAGCATTTGAAAGTTAAAAATCATTGTTTCAACATGTGAACAGGAGATCTATTATTACGTTTGGATTTGGTAATCTCTCTTGAACAACCTCCCAACACTGGCCCAAAAGCAGCTTCTAACTTAAATGGGGTGGAGTCCCCAGCTCTCATCCGAAACCAACCCGCATTATCCTCCCCCATCTTTGCTTCAGTCGCAACATGGATTATTTACTGTTTGTGAGAATCATGAAAAACCAAACCAAACCAAAAAACATTTTCAGCTCTAAGGACATCTGCAGTGAGGTGAAGTGAAAGCCATTGTCCCCAAATTAGTAACCGCTGCTTTCTTAACTTGGTTGGGTTCTTTCAGGCACAGTATTTTTCTTGTTAAAGAAGGGTCAGTATCCAATCAACACAGGGCAAACCCTCCAAGCCTGGAGCCACACCAATCCTGAGCCTGTGCATACCCCTAGACAATCCCTTTACGCTGCCCTATAAGATCTCTATGCAGATGCTTCAAGCCATCTTTCCTAGCCATCCGCCGTGGTGGGTGGATGAAAGACCCGAGGTAACATGGGGTTAGCTCGTTAAACAGCTATAATAAAGCCTTGTGCAGTTTGCATCAAAAAAAAAAAAAAAAAGAAGGGTCAGTATGAACTAACATTTTTTTTCTCTCTTAGGAGATTTACATGGCCAACTGGATGACTTAATATTTATATTTTACAAGGTACGAACATTCAAATTAAGTTAATTTCTTGCTCTGAGGCTTAATTTAAAAGTTCAGGTATGTCCTTTCCATTATACAAATGCTTAATCATAGCCTGGATTTTTACCACAGGCATGCAGTGCCCATGGAAGCCAGAAGAGGGCACTGGACCCCTTAGAACTGGAGTTACAGATGGTTGTGGGCCTCTGTGAGGGTGTTGGGGATCAAACCTGGGTGGTCTGGAAGAGCAGCCAGTGCTTTTAACTGCCAAGCCATATCTCCAGCCCCAATTGCTTGGGCTTTTAAAATATTATTTTAAACGATATACATGTCTGTACAACAAGTGACATAAGTCAGTCTTGCTTTCAGTTCCAATTAGGTTTGTAAAATTTAGGCAAACCCAAACGTTATATTGATAAGCAGTTGGAACCATAATTAAGCAACTAACAAGTGACATAAGTCAGTCTTGCTTTCAGTTCCAATTAGGTTTGTAAACTTTAGGCAAACCCAAACATTATATTGATAAGCAGTTGGAACCATAATTAAGCCATAATTAACCATAAAAATATTTTCTATTTTTCAAAGATTACTATGGAAACAACCAAAGTTTGTTTATTTTATATCCATTTTAGCTATAAGTAGAATGCATACCAAAGCGCATATTCAATATTTCATTAGTACAATATTATTTTATATGTCTACTGCATTTCCAAATCATTATATATACATATATGATATACATATATGTGCTTTGTATGTCTACTGTGTTCCCAAATCATTATATATACATATATGTGTATATCAAAAAGAATATATATAAATTTTTTAAAGTTTTTTAAAATATGGTTTCATGTGGACCAGGCTAGCCTCTTTCCAATTCACTATGTAGCCTTGAACTTCTGATCCTTCCTGCCTCCACCTTCCAAGTGCTGGGATTGCAGGGCTGTGCTAGCATGCTCAGCCTGGTGCTGTCTGATCTAATCCCTATGAGTCCATGGCAGTTATTATGACTATTGTTATTACTGTCATTATGTATCTGGAACTTAAAAGTGGCTTCCATGTCCCCAACATCCTTTGGTTCACACTGCATGGCAACACTGTGTCTCTGAATCAAGTGTCAGTTTTGATGAGCAGCTCCCATCCTCAGCCCCTTTAGAAAGGAAATATAACACAATGGAAAACATCTTCCCTTTGCTGGTGTTTCCCATTGGAGACACCCACAGATCACACACAGGATGACTACAGCTAACTTAGCAGTCAGATACCTGCTGCCTTTAACCTCATGTTCTCTTCCCCTCCTCTACTGCCTCTTCCTGGACTCCTCTTGGGATGGAAGAATGGTCTACCATCACCAGAGAGGGCGTACGTGTTCAATGGTGACTTCGTGGATCGAGGCAAGGACTCAGTAGAAGTTCTGATGGTCCTATTTGCCTTCATGTTGGTTTATCCCAAAGAGTTCCACCTCAACAGAGGGAACCATGAGGATCACCTGGTGAACTTACGGTACAGGCCCGGACACGCTGGCCATTGGGAGCTTGTTTTAGTTATGAAAAGTTGCTTCTTCCAGTTTTCCTAGGCTAGGGCTGTAGCTCAGTGAAGGAACACTTGTCTAGCACACACAAGGCCCTGGGTTCAATTACCAGAAAAAATAAAGTTTTCTGATTTCTTAAAAAACACATAGCATATAATATATTAAAATTCCACATTATTTTACTATTGTAATAAGAACATTATATTTTTAAAATATTAATATTTTTAGCTTTCAAACAATAAGGATTCACACAGAGAGGAGTAAATCTAGAAAAACAAAAAGAATAGAATTTAAATATCTCATAATTTCTCTACCCAGAAATAATGGCAAAAGTGTAAACTTTCTCTTTTTTTTACATATTCTAAGGGCCCAAAAATAGAGCAAGCGTTTTTTTACAGAATGTGATCACGCTATGACTTCTGTCACTAAACGCATCTTCATGTGTGCTTTGTGTCCAGATACGGCTTCACCAAGGAAGTGATGCATAAATACAAGGTGTGCCCCTTTCAAAGTCAAACTTTCCCTTCTCTCAGACTGAGACTTGGGAAGCTGAACATCTTGTTGGTATCATTTCTCAGATACATGGGAAGAAAATCCTAAGGACACTTCAAGATGTCTTCTGCTGGCTTCCGCTGGCCACACTGGTGGATGAGAAAGTCCTCGTTCTTCATGGTGGGGTCTCAGACAGGACTGACTTGGAACTTCTGGCTAAACTAGACAGGCACAAGGTACTGACTCATGAGCCAATACAAGTCTCACCTTCTGTCTAGTCACGCTGTCAATGGAAAATAAATGTCACCTTGAATGGAGACTGGTGAGCATGTGGAGAAAGGGCAGAGGGTTCACAGGGAGCAAGTGTGCTGTAATCCATTAGCAATGTCTGTCAGGAACACATAGGAGGAGAGTGGCAGCCAGTGCTGTGTGTTGGCCATCCTTGATTTAGATAATTCTAATTAACTGTCCCTTAATACCATCACCTGAAGAGCCTCTATTTCCCAAATAATTCATATCCCCAAATAATTCATATCCCAATTGTCTTTCAACTAAATTGAACCCATGTGTATCCAGCACCTAGCATGGGCAGGGAGGGTGCTTGCTTGCCATGTGCAAAGACAATCAATACTAAGGATATATGAAAATGATGCTGAGACAGTGTCTACACCAACTCTGTGTGCTGGCAGAGGAGGCAGAGAGGTAACAAGGAGTGAATGACCAATAACCTTCTATTGTCCATTTCCCCTTAGCAATAGAGACCTGGAAAACAAAGGCTTTGTGTATTCTTTTCATAATAGACTCTTCTGCTTTTCATGGTACTGCATGCATCTACCCTCCAACTGTCCCATGTGGCCACCTCTGCTAAAACATTCTCTGTAGCACTTCCTTGGCAGATGCAACAACATGGAACTTGTTTCTCCAGAAGCCACACTGCCTCAACTCTCAATGGCTCAATGGCATGTGGCCACCTCTGCTAAAACATTCTCTGTAGCACTTCCTTGGCAGATCCAACAACATGGAACTTGTTTCTCCAGAAGCCACAGTGCCTCAACTCTCAATGACTTCAGTGGCTATGAACACACATGACAGCACACAATTTTAGAGTCAAGGACTGGCTCTGAGTCCTGAAATTTTCAGTTATCAGGTGACATGACAAACTTTGTTCTGTGACATTGTCTAGAGAATCATCCTAGGGTATCTATCACCTGCAAGGCTTGATCCGGATTGCCAAGAAAATGTGCTCCATACCCTCCTGGACACTAGGAGGAAGGGGAAGGGAATACGATGTTCTTGCCCCTTCCAAAACAACCCAGAACTTGCAATCTCCATTTTCATCCCCCTCATCAGGCTCTGGTTACATGGTGGCCCCCACACTTGCAGGGAAGTCGGAATCGTAGTATTTTACGGTTGGCCATCTGCTCAGAAAGAAAGTCGCAGTTTCTGTCCTGTGAGAAAGAATAAGGAGACACAGCTGGGAAGAGAGAGTCTTTGCCACAGAGATGTTCAAGTAAAAATGTGTTACCTGGGTCTGCAAAGCCCGGCCTGAGAAGTGAGGCCAAAAGGGTTAGAAATCCCTTTTCTTCTGCTTAGAGTTTGTAACTTACTGTGACCTTAGATTTGACTTGTAAAATGGGGACATGAATAGACTAGATTATTGGCATTGTGAGATTAAATGTAAATACGTTAAATATGTTACACATGCCTTATAAAATAGTACTTACACTTGGCTGAGGTGTTAGAAAGGTCCAAATGCCTGTGTTAAATGTTTATCTGTTTCTTGTGTAAACGAAGGTCTGGTGCAACATCACAAAGTCCTAGGAACCTGGAATTCTTTTTGTTGTTGTTTTCCAAGACAGGGTTTCTTTGTGTAGCCCTGGCTGTCCTGGAACTCGCTCTGTAGACCAAGCTGGCCTTGAACTCTCAGAGATTCGCCTCCCTTTCCCTCCCAAGTGATGGGATCAAAGGTTTGCACCACCACCACCCAGCAGGAACTTGGAAGTCTTGATGATTGGCCACAGTGCATCATGATCCAAGTTGGATGCCTGTGTTCCAGTCATCATGATCACATTTTAGCCAATTAAAAAGAACAGAAGAAGGCAGTTTTTTCTTTTATGAGCATCCTGTGGCACCCAGAACTTCTCTTCCTATCTGATTAACAAGAACTTAGTCAAATGGCTATGTTTACCTGAAAGGAAAGTTTGCAAATACGGTCTTTAACCTAGGGTGCATGACCATTACTGGAGACTAGGGAGCGACAGATAAAGACAGGACTAAGTTAGGGCGGCAAGACTGACTTAGTTTGTCCTGTTGGCCTCCCAAACTTCTGTGTACACTCTTCCTCAACACAAAAGACCAGGCTCATGGCCCAGGGCCACATGGGGTCCATTCAGAGCTTACATTGCTCAGAGTCCAAGGTTTCTGCACTCAGGTTCTGCCTATTAGGTTTGCATATGGCTTCTTGTGATTTGGTAACCAGGGGACAAGTTACTGTCCCTGTATACCCAAAGTCAATGTTCAAAGAGGAAAAAGATACTTTTTGGCAAATACTGGTAAGAGCTTCTGGGCATCTCAGCCTTTGGTGTTTGTTTTTTGTTATTAATTTGTTTTTTAACTTAACACTTGTCTAGTTAGAGTTCACTGTGCAGTCAGAGCTGCCCCCCACCCCCAATTTGTAATCTTCCCCCTTGTTCCTCCCAAGTGCTGGGATTACAAGTGTGCACCATGTCCACCTTCAGCCTTAAAGTTACAGGCTTCCTTATGGCATTTGTACACATACTTATGGCATTTGCGTACATACTTACTTACGGTATTTACATACATACTTACGGCATTTACACACATACTCAGTTACACCTGTAACTGAAGTTATGGGTTGTGAGCTACCTAATGTGGGTGCTGGGAACTGAACTTCAGGCCTATACAGGAGCAGCAAGTTCTATTATTTCTTAACTGCTGAGCCATCTCTTCAGCCTTCACGCTTAATTTTTAAAGTAAGATTTTTTTTGTTATTTTTAAATCTGTTTCAATGTTTGGCCTGCATGTATGTATGTGTACCTTGAGTGTTCTTGCAGAGGTCGGATGAGGGCATTGGAGTTTCAGATGTCTGTGAACCACCGTGTGGATGCTGGGAATTGAAGCTGAGTCCCTTGCAAAAGCAGCAAATGTTGACCCATCTCTCCAGCCCCCATATTTAATTTTTTTTGTTGGCCCTCCCATCCATCTCCCCCTTTCTTCCTCTTTCTGCCCTGACCCCCCACTTATATTCATCAGAGTATAGAGATCCAAGAAACTAAAGCCAGTTCTTGTTTCCCTTGTTAAATCTGCATGTTGCCTGGCACCTGACTTTTTAAAGCTTGGTATTTCACAAACTTTGAGCTCAAACCTTCTGTTCGTCTGTGTTTCCATCTGGAGGTAGAGACAGCAAGCTACTGGAGAGCCAATTATCTCGTGGAGAGAATCGTATGTAATGGTGAAAACACAGAGGTGGGAGGAACTTCGAAAAGAGTGGAAGGAACAGTTTATTTTCATGGCTTAACACATGCTAATTTCCTAACATTTGGTTGGCAAAGTTTTGTGGTGAGCTTGGCACAGCAGTTTGTACAACCTGGGGAGCCCCTGAGTGCCGAGTGGGGGAGGACACTCCAGTCAGACTGAGTCCGGTGCAGGAAGAGTCTTGGTATCTCTGTGCCTCAGTTTCCTTGGATGTCTGTGAATGATGCTCCTATAGAGCTGGTGAGAACGTGGGTTGACTTACATAAATTGTGGGGAATAGCACCTCACCAGAAAGATGCAATACAGTGGATCCCGAAGTCTCCCTAAGGACAGAGAAGCTAGAGACACTTCTAGGAGCGGTTGATAGAATCCTTAGTTTCCGGAGAGTGACAGGGGTGTCACTGGCGGCTGGCTTTTGCTTTAAGAATGCAGTCAGAAGGGACTGATTAGGAACCAGGTGATCTCAACCCCTCTCACCACGGTTAGGAAAGGATCTGGTCGCACCTGCCCAAAGTCGGCACAGCCTCATTGTCTCTATGCAGTGTGGGCTCTTTCCAAGCCACATTTATCCCGTTGGCCCTCTCCAGGACCTTTCTTTGTTCTTGTCCTAAACCAGTCCACCCTGGGATGGGTCTTTTTTTGTACATCAGTTCCTGCATCTATTTGCGCAGGGAGGGAGGGAATCCCTCCCCCCATTCTGTGCACATGCGCTCACAGATTTCTCAGTCGTGCGTGGCCTCATGGAGGAGGCCTCCCCTAACCTTCCCGGTAGCCCTCAACCCCAAGGATGATTTTCTTTGTGTATATCTCCATTCGGTCCGGTGCCAGACCCCTGTCTTTCCCGAGAAATGCGTTCTTTCTATTTATTTTTCAGCTCGATCCCAGCACCACGATGACTGAGTCGGTAACCGCTCAAGCTGAAAAGGGTTCCCGCTTCCTCTCTCTCCCCTGTCCCTCTGCAGCTGGTAGGGTCGCAGCATTTCTGGTTACCTGTTCCACGAGTTCGCTTTTTCTCTGTTCTCCACACCAGCCTGTCAATCCATGCAATCCAGGACTTCCAGCAGATGGCGCCAAACCCCGCACAGGATAGATTGTTTATTTGTTGTTTGTTTCCTTGTGTGCCCTGTGTCAGAGATAAGATCTGCCCAACAATGCTTTATGCACTGGTTCTGACTCTGCATCGCTACTGTTCCATTTGCGGGTATTATTAAGTAAAAGAATGGTTCCTCAAAAGCAGCATGGTAATGCTGCGGCTGTCCACCAGAAAACCTAGGCTATATGACTGATGGGTGGACAGTGTATACAGCGTGGATGCGCTGCACACAGGGGTGACTCATGTAGCATACAATTTTCTATTGGAGATACAAAATGTTACTATGCAAAAATATGTTAAATATGAGTAATTTAAACATGAAACGCAACAAAAAAAGACATAAGCCTACCAATCACGTGTTTGAATGTGGCTGTACGCAATTGCTCTTCCAAGTTCTGAGGGTTGCTTTCAAGATCTGTGCTTGTCTCAGCCCAGGAAACCTGCATTGAACCCCAGGATTTGTGGACGCCAAGGTTTAGGACCTGGATGTGGGAACGGTAGTCTGGAAGGACTTAGCATTTCACTCTTGCAACGTGTGTGTGAATACAATAGTGTGTGTGTGTGTGTGTGTGTATCTGCTTATTTATTTATTTATTTATTATTAATTAATTATGTGTGTGTGTGTGTGTGTGTGTATCTGCTTATTTATTTATTTATTTATTTATTTATTATTAATTAATTTATTTATTTATTTGAACGTGTTTAGATTGTTTCTACCCTGAGGTGCAAAATAAGAAAGGAGAGTGAGAATCGGGAGGAGCAGAAGAGGAAAGTCAATCAGACAAGCTCTGGACAGAGACCTACTCCATGGTTTCTTCCCCAAAGCCAATCTCTCCCCTCTTCGCCTTGTCACCTGGGCTCTGGCTTTAAGGCCTACAAAGCCTGCCGGTCCTGCAGCATTCCCTGCAGCTCCGGCTCCGTTGACCACAAGGAGCAGTCCCGCAGGCAGGTGCGGCGCTCTGTGGACCTGGAGCTGGAGCGGTGCCGGCAGCAAGCAGGCTTCCCAGGGATCAAAGAGAAGCGGGAGCCCTTGCCCTGGGCGCCTGACGATGCTGACTGTGATGCTGATGCAGGAGAGGTGCTGGAGCCCACTCCAGAGGAGTGGAAGCAGGTGAGTGTGGCTAACTGCTGCTTCTGAGAATATGCCTGCCATCTGAGGGAAAAACAGATCAAAACTGTGTAAATGCGGGAGGTTTCCCAAGGCCCCTCTGAAAGGATTAAAAAAAGGAAGGTGAAGCAGGTACCTTTCGTGGTGGGGGAGCTGTCAAGGTATGCCACCTAGCAAACACAGGCTGAGGTTTATTGAGGAAGAGGGAGAGAGAAAGAGTGAAAGGCGTGTTGGAGCGGGGACATGAGAGAAGCAGGCAGACAGAGAGGGAAGAAACAAGAGAGTCAAGAGAGATTAAAGAGGAAAGAAGAGGGGTGCAAAGGCACTTGGTGACAGGTGATGATGTAACTGCTTTGACAGCAGAGGCAGGCTGCTGCCCCAGGGGAAACTAGCACCCTCTTTCTAATTGGGAATTTTAAAAGTCCACATGGACATTAGCTTTTGTCTAATAACTTGTGTTAATGTTTTATAATGAGTGGGGAGAAGCTGCTGGGGACTGTTGTCCAACTACTTGTTCCAGGACTTGGCATCAGCTGGGGATGCAGGTTAGGTACAACTTAGTGGATTCTTCTCCGTGCTGATTTATTTAAGACCAGGAGAACTAGCCAGCAGCTTCTGGCCCCTGTTTTCAGGAAAGTACAGACTTCCCCAGCTCTCTAGAACTCTGTCATTTGGCCACCCCTAGCTGTGAGGGAGTCTGGAAAAGTGTGTACAGCTGGGTATATTGCTGCCCCAAACATAATCATTCTGTCAGGACAGATGAAACAAATGGGCAGATACAGAGTAGGCCCTGCACAGTGTGACCCATCAGTTGCCAAAAACAGAATACTCAGGCCAATAGGGAAAGTGACATCTATAGGGACAAGGCCATGTCAAGGAGGCCCTGAAATGGCTTGCCGGGCGTCCCAGGGTTTTTGTTTGTTTGCTTTATTTTGTTTTACTTTTTTGAGACAGGAGTCTCTCTGTGCAGCCCTGGCTGTCTTGAAACTCACCATGTCCCAGGCTGGCCTCAAACTCACAGCTGCCCGCCTCTGTCTCCTAAGTGCTGGAATTAAAGGCATGCACCACCATACATGGCTATTTAGTAAGGGTTTCTATGGCTATGATTAAACACTATAACCAAAAATAACTTGGAAGAAAAGGGTTTATTTTGCTTACACTTCCACAGCATGGTCCATTACTGAGGAAATTCAGGGCAGAAATTCAAACAGGGCAGGAACCTGGAGGCAGGAGGCAATGAAGAGGCCATGGAAGAGTGCTGACTTGCCCCCCCATGGAATGCTCAAGTCTATGTACCCCAGGACTACCTGCCCAGGGGTGATGACCCTCCCTGTGGGATTAGCCTGGCATTTGAATTATTAATCAAGATTGTACCCCATAGGCCAGTCTTACTGAGGCATTTTCTCAATTGAGTTTCCTCTCCTCAGACAACTCTGGCTTGTGTCAAGTGACATAAACTGTCAGCACACTTGGTGGCCAGGTTGGAGACAATGTCGGTGGTCTTAGGCAGTTGTAGAACTGTGAAAACTTGATGGTGTAGTCATTTGTCACCTACAAAAATGGTAGTTTCATAAAGTTCATCCAGTAAAGAAAAGAATTGAGACTCTTTTAATTTAAGAGTTAAAATGAGCAGAAGTTAGCCACTGGCTGGACAAAGGAGGGTGAGGAACAGACACCACATTCTCCCTGAACTATTAATCTGGGCTTCAACACCAACTTACACTTGAAATTTAAAACAGAGGCCCCTCTTTTTGCAACATGTGACCCAATAGTGTGCAGATACTTATAAATCAAACGCATTTCCCCTGAAAAGTACATTTGGAAAGTATTATACGTCATCACTCCAAACCCACACTTACTGCCTCTGCACTGAGTAAGACTGGCAATGGATGCTTTCCTGAGGGTAGAGCATGAGCGGCTACAAAGACATCTCAGATCTTCTGCAGCTTTGTGTCAAAATCCTTAAATTACTTTAAAATGCAAAATGTTGGTTGAGCATCTCCAGGACCATGGGTAGGGCCTGTGAACCACACAGGTGAGACTGCCCTGCCACTTGCAGAAGGTCTGCCTTTACTTTGGAGCCACGGTGCATGGGCCTGGAATGCAGGCTGAGTGCAGCAGCTCTTATGCATAGCTGTTACCTCTTCTATATGTTGATCTTCACATCAGGTTTACATCCAACAGGCATGCACACTCACTTGTGAAATAAAACACTTCAAGCTGATGCCTGCGATCCCTGTCCTTGGGAAGTGGAGGTAGGAGGATCAGTTTATTCAGAGTCATTCTCAGCCAGCCTGGGCTACACATGACTGTTTCTCAAAACAAACAAACAGAGATCTGAAACACTTGGGAGGCTAAGGCAAGAGGGTCACTATGGGTTCGAGGACAGCTGTGACTGCTTAGCAAGACCCTGTCTCAAAACAAACAAACAAACAAACAAACAAACAAACAAACAAGGGATGTGACAAATCTTTTTAAATGCAGCCCTAAGCATCCTAAATATAAACACGAGGCTGGAGAGATGGCTCAGTGGATAAGAGCACTGTGGGTCACTTCCAGAGGACCCTGGGCTTGATTCCCAGCATGCGTAAGGTATCTCAAAACCATCTATAACTCCAGTTCCAGGGAATCCAACACCCTCTCTGGTCAAATAAAACCTCAAAATGTAAGCATATGTCAAATATTGGCTGCATAGAAATCTATTTCCTTTCATCTTATTTTTCTTTTCTCCTCCCTCCTCTGATTCCCCGCCCCCTCCTCCACCCTCCTGTTTCTCCTGTGAATGACTGAGTGGATGTGGACCTTGGTCCTCCTAGGTTGTAGATATTCTATGGAGTGATCCCATGGCTCAGGAGGGCTGCAAGGCCAATACTATCCGAGGAGGAGGCTGTTACTTTGGGCCTGATGTGACAGAAAAGTTGCTGGAGAAATATAAGCTGCAATTCCTGATTCGTTCACACGAATGCAAACCTGAAGGCTATGAGTTCTGCCACAACCGCAAGGTGGGCTGAGCCTCTGTTGGCATCCATGTTTGTGACACAGAAGTGGTCCAAAGACTCCTCCCAGGAGATGACAGCTAACTGTGCCTAGGATTTGTCACCTACTTGCCCAAGGCAGCTAGGTCCTGTGAGTGTGTGTGTGTGTGCACTCGCGAGTATATACACACACACGTACATGAGGGTGGGGGTGTGTATGAGCATGTGTGTGTATGTGTACATGCATGGGGCGTGCATTGTGTGTGTTCATGCTTGCATATATATGTGGAGACAGGAAGTCAATATGGGGTATCTTTTTCAGTTGTTCTCCATCATCTTTGTTGAGGCAGGCCTCTCACTGAGTCTGGAACTCACCAATTCATCTAGACTGTCTGGCCAGTGAGCCCCTGGGGTCTGACTCTCTCTACCTCCCCAGCACTGAGATTACACCAGCTTTTTATGTGGGTGCTGGGGAACTGCCCTCAAATCCTCATGCCCTGTGCAGCAAGCAGTCTATCAATAGAGCCATCTTCTCAGGCTTGACAATCTTTTACCTTTGACTTTTATGACTTTTTTGTTTTGTTTTGTTTTTGAACTGGGGCTCACATGGTCTCTCTTCATAGCCCTGGCTATCCTGGAAGTCACTATGTAGACCAGGCGGGCTTTGAACTCCCAAGATTTGCCTGTGTCTGTTTCCTGAGTCTTGGGATTAAAAGTGTCACCACATCAAGCTTTTACACTTTTAAATTTGATTGTAGCTATTGCTTCCCAAAAGTCGGAAAGAAAGGGACAGGTAAGACTCTTTTTAGTTGATGAACATCGGAGGCCAGTGTTTCCCCAGATACATCTTTACCTCTAAGTCACATGATTTTTGGTCAGTTGCCTCAAACATCCCCATGAGGCACTATCTAGGCAGATGTTCAGGATCTTGTGTATTTGGGATCTCTAAATGCAATAATATAGGACTCTGTGTTCCTAGAATTCTCTTTCTATGCAAGAATAGTGGATTCACAGCTAATTAATAGAAGACACATTTGACTACATGGCTATCATATTTCCTTATTAGAAGGCTCCAAGAACCTGTCCTTTCCTATGTTCACTGTATATCTTTTTTTTTTACTTTAATAAAACTATTGCATTTTATTTTGAGTTGAAAGTATTTTAAATACAAATAAAATTGTTATTAAGACTAACAAGTTAGGATTTCTTTGGAACTACTTTTAAGCTTTTCATTTTTTAATTTATTTTTTACATCCCAACCCCAGTTCCCCCTTCCTCCTTTCATCATGCTCTCCCCTCCTTCCCCCCCCCACCTCCCATCTGCTCCTCAAAGAGGGTAAGGCCTCCCCTAGGATGTCAACTAAGTCTGTCCCATCACCTCGTTGAGGCAGGACCAAGAGCGCCCCCCCATGTCTAGGCTGAGCAAGGTATCTCTCCATAGAGAATGGGCTCCACAAAGTCAATTTATGCATCAGAGTTAGTTCTTGGTTCCACTGCCAGTGGCTTCATATATTGCCCAAGCCACACTATTGCCACCTGTATTCAGGGGGCCTAGTTTGGTCCTATGCAGGTTCCCTAGTTGTCAGTGTGGAGTCAGTGATCTCTCACTAGCTCGGGTCAGCTGATTCTGTGGGTTTCCCCATCATGGTCTTGACTCCTTTGTTCATATTATTGCTCCTCCCTCACTTTGACTGTACTCCAGGAGGTTGGCCCATTGGTTAGTTGTGGATTTCTACGTCTGCTTCCATCTGTTTCTGGAAGAGGGATCTAGCTTCACTGGGGTTGTAAATCGTAGGCTGGTTATACTTTGCTTTATGTCTGGTATCCATTTATGAGTGAGTACATAACTATATTTGTCTTTTTGGATCTGGGTTACCTCACTCAGGATGTTTTTGTTTTTTAAAGTTCTGTCCATTTGCCTGCAAATTTAAAGATGTCATTGTTCTTATCCCCGAGTAGTACTCCATTGTGTAAAAATGTACTACATTTTCCTTATTCATTTTTTGGTTGAGGTGCATCTAGGTTGATTCCAGGTTCTGGCAATTATGAATAATGCTGCTATGAACAGAGTTGAGCAAATGTCCTTGTGGTGTGAGTGTGTTATCCTTTGTGTATATGCCCAAAAGTGGTACTGCAGGGCCTTGGGGTACATTGATTCCTAATTTTCTGAGAAATTGCCATACTGATTTCCACAACAGCTGTACAAGTTTGTACTCCCACCAGCAAAGGAGGAGTGTTCCCCTTTCTCCACACCCC